CCCAATACGGGTCTTCCACCTACAGAACCAACTGCACAAACAGCCTCCACTCAGCCTGAGTTGGAAACTCGCATGCCTCCCCCTACGAATCTCGGTGCCCAGGCCACTGTGCATCCTGTTGCCCATGCTCAAATCCCTTCTCCTCACTCGCACCTCCCGAAAATTGAAGAATGAATTAGGAACTATACACTCGTTTTTCCCAAACTATACCGGTATTCATTCTGCCAACGGAGTGGCTTCTGGAGCTTCTTCTCACCTTGCACGTATAGCCCCCGAGAGGTCTCGTTCATTCACGGTTACTTGCATTATTTTCGTAATTATATCTCCATCGCCTGTACCTTAATTAAATGTATTTTCGGAACCACTACTAGAAGCTTTATCAAATATCTACTTTGTATGTGTCGTTATGCAAACATTTTTAGGCTGCGCTCCACTTGTAATGAAAAAATCTCATTTGAGTAACTTAGAGTTCACATTCAGAACAATAGCATTTGAAAAGATAGTAGTCCTCCTCAAAAAGCCCAAACGAGTAAAAGGCGAATAAAGAAACCAAACGAAATTTAAACTTGGAATCTTATGTGCTGAAGCACTGGAGGATGATAACTTGCAGAATACTCCAACATCAATACATGACAAATCGCTTGCATCACAAATGAAATTAATAGAAAGAATTGGCAGTAATAGCCTCATGGGCAACACACCTAAAAACGAGCTCCTAGTACAAGTTGAAAATTCAAGAACTACTGAAATTTATTCATGTGTACAGCAAGCCGGTTTCAGTTTACTTACAACACATCGGAGCCCCTCCATTGTGACTACAAAATCCGCCTCCAGTCCAGTTTCCTGCATTCGAGTAAACTCGTCTGCCGCGGACTGCAAGACATTAACAATAATGAAGCTATCCAAAATATAAGCTATACACCAAGTCGATAACCTTTGCAGCGTTATACGCAGGATACAGTTTACCGTGGAACGTACGCATTCTTACCAGTGCCGCAAAAAGGTGAATCTGTATATTTAATCCATACACTTGCTTCTCTCTCCGTCTGAAAAAAATCCTCTAAGGAAGTGGGACAAGTAAAATCTCTGAAAGTCTATTGGGTGGACTCCCAAGTTTTTTTCCCTTAATGAGTGCTATCACAATTGACCGGCTTGCCGGTTGGCGTTCGTTAGACAGTTGTGCGAGGAAGTGGAGGGATGGCAGCGCTTTTGCTTGAGTCCGCCTGGGTCACTGTTTGGGTTGAACTTTTTTCATGCGTTAAATTGTGCACGTGGACTAAGGACAAGGAATCTCTCGAAGAAAAATATACCTTAACCGAAAAAGAGGCAACCTGTCGCCTTCCCACTTGCTTTCGTCATTACCATCAGTTGTCGGCATGTATGATCCGGAATACCCCGCCAAGGCTTTCTACTGCTTGACTGGATTTAGTGTCGGACCTTCATCATCTTCTTCTTATATTCATAGGTGTGTAATATAATACATGAATACTAAGGAAGAAGAAGGTGAAGGCTCGTTGAATTATGGTTATGATAGATATAAATGTATGTTTTTTCGAGCTTAAAAGTATTGTTTTAACAGAAACTCGAATGCACACTCACGATATGCGCATGACATCATAACTTGACAAGGCGCAGCTGAGGTGTGTCCGAACTAAATATGATATAATGACAGCTAGTGGAAAAATAATCATTGGGAACAATGACTTCTTACATACTCTGCTCAGGTGAAAAATGCAAACCACGGTGGCGCTGACACTCAAGAATTTGCTCGTATAAGAACAGCTGCAGCTTAGGATCTTGAGAAAAAAACAGTTTGAAGAGGAGAAAAACAAAGCGGTGAAAAGAATGTTTATCACCTGTGCTACCCGCTGCTTTAGCATATGTTTGTGCAATGGTTTCAATATGTTTGTGTCCATCAGGAAGTGAATTTGTTAATTGTTTGAAGTCCCCAACAGTTGAAATAGATTCGGGAACTAACTGAAAGTTGTCCGGTCACAATCAGGCATATAATACTTCATTGTAGAATGGTCAACCAACTTTCGGATTTTCAATGCTTGATTCTAACAAGTTATCGATGGAATCGTTAGTGACACAAACGGAGCAATGGCAAGTGAATCCGCGTCCTGCCAAGAATTTCTGGAACATTCTCATCGCGTCAAAAAACAACTATTAAAGGTCTTAAGCCTGAGCACACCTTTCGCTCTTCTCTAGTGTAGTTGAAAAATGATACACCATAGTTATCACAGATTTCTTCTCCTTTCCTAATACCAGCACTGACAAAGATTAGTTTGTCGCCATAGAAACTTAACGTGGGTCATCAGGAGACATTGACAAAGTAGTTCTTTTTCGAAAATATTGACACCCACAAACTATTAAGGTTTGCCCTACAAGAGTGGTTGAACCAACTGGCTACTGGAAATAGGCCAACGCCGGATGGCGTGGAACTGTCAGAAGTTGCATCCCTGAAATCGTTTACATGAGTAAAAAAACCTTACTGTTGCAGAAGGAATGAACCGAAAACATACCCTGGTCGTCTTTCAAGACGGTCAACGAAGTAAATTGAGTGTGCATTCGTCATCAAGCGAGAAGAAATTAAGCGTAGGAGCGTCGTGAAGTAATCTAAGCGACGCGTTTTCGGTACTAAGCTCCATTGAGGATGCTGAAATCTCGCTATTTGGCATTTTTTGGCTGTAAAAAGGATAGAGAATGTGGTGCATCAGGTGAAACGAATAGCCTGGTTTCACAAGTTATTCGTTGAACTCAAATCAATGCGAAGAAAAACGATGGGGATGGAGCCAGTTAAAATGATAGAGATACCTCATCAAGTTTGCTGACGATTCGCTTCACCAAATCATCAGTCGACGACAAGTCAACTGGGTACGCATCAGTCTGAAGGGAGAGCGC